TATTTTTCTTTCACACAGATTTAAATGTGATGAAGATTGTGGGGCAGAAAGCTATTTTCTGTGAATACATGTAGACACTGAGAATCCACCGGCTTCTTAATATTCTTGATCTCCCCAAAACTTTTATCCAGTTCCAGCTCTTGAGGTTCGACAACAAGGGCAGAATGCACAGTAGTCACTAAGAAATTAGGCTGCCTGCTGAAATTTCAAGTGACGTGGCTCAAAGATGGTCCCAAAAAGAAGGTACTTTGCGTGCAATAAGAAATCTGGCCTGGGAACAACCTCTCCTTTCCAGACATCTGCAATGTTTTAAATGCAGTGCTATTAAGCTTTCTGCATGTGAGAAAAATAATTTTTTCGTTTGGAGCTTAAGTGTTTTTCAGCAACGATTTCCTTTAAAAAACAACAACAACAACCAACCAAGCAATTAAGCACTATGAATCTAACGGACCTAATGAATTCTGATCAACTATCCTTTCACTAATATGAGTGACGAAGACAGAGGTTCTCCTTACAATTTTTAAAACTGATCCATTGTACAAATCCATAGCAAACTTGGTTTCCCAGGAACAAAAATTGATCAGATACACATGTATGTCAATCAGACGGGTGATGAGAAAAAACAAAAGTAGAAATTTTAAAAGGGTTATCAGTTGATCCAATACCAAATCCTCTGAATTTACATCATACGAATTTTATGAGGAAAAGTGAGGAGAATTAATGAGATCTTGGAAGTGTAAGGTCAAACACTTCAGAGCCACTGAACATAAATATCAAGAAACCACTAACAGTTTCAAAATTTTGTAATGCATTTTATTTTTCCTTTTTATTTGTTTTATTTATTTTATTTAATCGCTTCGCCAACCGGCAGGGACAACGCAACAGCTTGCGCCAATTACTGTGGACCCAATAAACTCACCCATCCCACCCCAGGGGAGGACATCCATCACACAGTAATCTTGAGTGTAGGAAATTAATGTCTCCTACCCCTAACCCTGCAGGAGATGGGACCTCCATTTATTCATCCCTATCCGAGAAGACTAGAATATCTAACTATTTCTTGATGAAAAAGAAAGGCAGCAAATTCTTCTCAATTATTTTAAGACCCTAAGTCTTGGTCCGGCTTGGGCTTGAACCCTCGACCTCCCGCACAACAGTCCAGCACTCTATTCATTGAGCTAACCGGGAGGCGGTTAATGAACCTTTTCCAAAAATAATTTTAAAAAGTTCTATTGCACTTTTCTTTCTCCAAGAAATCAAAAAGTTCAAAATATCCCCCTCATAGAGCAAGGAAATATTATGCAACTGTATGCTACAATGTGATGCTATCGCACCATTAAATTTTGTGTGCTAGCAGACGGTCCATCATCTTAATTTATCCTTTTATTTTAATGCCTACAACTGTCTATCTTGGCCTGCCAAAAGTGGTGTGTCCAGGTTGAAAAGAGTTTGGGCTATTTTGTCAAAAATGCAATGCGAACCACTGAACACCTGTCACAACCTATTTAACAGCCTTTAACAATGATATATTTTTGGTATATTTATGAAGTCAAGGCCAGTCTTTCAGCTTGGCCAGGAACGTACCAAATACATGACCTCTTGTGTGACAGCCATTCAACAGATCACATTACATTTTTTGTCATGACAGCCCAAACTCTTTTCAACATGGATGTATGACGTATGGCAGGCCAAGAAAGAAACTTTGAGGAATTAAACCACAAGGATAAAACTTAAAGATGATGTATACGTTGATTTGTAAATATATTATATGTTTTTTCTCTTGTTTTGAAGGATGTCGTTAAAATTCAGATGGACCTAAGTTACGGTGAAGACGTTTTTAAAGGGATTAAAGATGCACTTCCTGAAGCAAATGTTTCAACAAGAAAAGGCATTTACCAAGACAGTGGGCCACCACCAAAGCTTCCAGTTTTCCTTGTCAGCATCACATCTGGTGAGATAAAAAATGAGAGAATAACTTTCAAAACAAAACTTGGGGAAAGTATAAACCTGAAGTTGAATAGTAGGGAGAACCTTGTGCTGTCCCCATCACCAATTAAACTACAAATGAGAGATGTCCAAGATGACTATGATGTTGGTGATTTAGCTCTTGTCAAAATGGGAGACTTGGAAAGTGGTTTAAGGAAGCCTACGTACCAAGCTGTTTGTGAAGGCTTGATCATCAGTAAGTACTTTTTTCATCCAGGGCTCAACACTAACTTTTTAACTTAGTAGCCAAGTGGCTAGTGACATCTTAGATGTTACAAAAATTTGTC